AAATTTCCCGCAGTGCTATTTATAATAGTAATGAGGTATATACATGGGCTCTTATGAACTATGTTTACAATATAAAAAAAAGAGGTAACCACTGGGAGCACATAAAATGTCCGAAATAGTCTTATGGTTTTGGCATTTATAAGATTTTGTCTCTACAGTTTAACCATTGCCATGCAGCCAGTAGCCTACCTTATTTCTCTGCTCGAGATCCTAGTTTGTTTGTTTAGTTTGTTTATTTAGAGTTCTTAGCAAGCATTTTAATGGAGTTTATTTTACAAAGGTTTAAACAAACAGCGATGGATAACGATTTTATTACGGTATATAATTGTATTCATTTGCACATGGCCACGGGCATTTTTAAAGAAAGTTTTTTTCGAAAGTGATTCACTAAAAAGAATTGACTCATTAGTCATTTGTTCGGGAATCAGACTCGTTGCGCTGTATGTTTTTGATTCACTAAAAAGATCTGTCTCGTTAAAATTGTTCATTTGGGAATCGGACTTCACTGTTTGCGTTGTCTGTTTATGATTCACTAAAAAGTAGCGGCTCCTTCGTTTTGCCATGGAACGTCGCCGGTCGCGCTGTCTGTATCGCGCTATGGATTCAGTCGCCGTGCTGCAGAGTAGTAGCCTAAGTATTAATAATAATTAGAAATAATTAGAAATAAATGTTTAATGATTATAAAAGAGCCTTCTGTGGTTCCTTAATATTTTTGTAATGGAACGGCGCTGTAGATTCAGTGTTGTGGCGGCAGTGAGAAAGTATAAATTATAATTATAAAATAAATGTTTATTGGTTATAAAAGAACCTTCTGTTTCACATAATATTGGATGGAATCGTGTATCTCATTAGCATGGTTTTTACTTTAACTTCCCAGTTGACTGGAGTGAAAATATCCCATACAACAAGTCCAAAAATATTGATTTAGCAGAAAAGTGATACACAGTTTGAGCTATAGACAGTTTGAGCTATCATCAGCTTGATTTACGCATTACATTAATGTGGTGAAAATTGGCCAAACTGTTACCTGTTTTATATGTGTGAATGTGTATGTGTTCTCCAGAGACAAATGCACTGCAGACTCCTTAGCCAATAAAATATTGCAGCTTTCCTCAAAGCAGTGACATATGGGCTTCACCTCTTCCACTGGAGACACCATTTGAGGAGAGGGGATGAGCCTGTTTCCAGCATGGAAACTGTATAATGCTCACAAGAGGGAAAATTGGAGTTGAAAAAACATGTATCAGGGCTGCAGTTGCACAGAATTTACTGCACACTCTTGTTATAGTATTTGTGGTCAGGGTTGTAAAACCTTGAGGTTCAGAATAGCTTTCCGGGATCCACAGAGCTGCCTTTAAAGAGATAGTTCAGACAGAAATGAAAATGTACTAATTTTCTCAAATTCTCATCCTTACCTTTCTCCAAACCCATCTGATGATCTGAACCATTAGTTCACGAGTGAGTTGAGTTCAATTCATTGACTCAAAGACTGACTCAGCAGCTCACTGGAGGTAAATAACTAAGTATACTTAAAATGAATAAATGACCAAATTTAACTATTCCAAAATCCTCTGGAAACATTTGATTGCTTCTGTGAGAGATTGCTTTATATTTTTTCCAATAAATTGGTTCCCCAATTCTCAAACTCAATTTTATAATATACATTTTTGTCTGCAGGTTGTTTCAGTAAGATGGCTGTATGAAATGTTCATTCTTTTTTTGTGCATCCTAAAGGGATTTATTTATTGTGGATTAACTGTCTGCCCTGCTTGACCTCGGGGTGAGTTAGTATGGGAGGGAGACAATATCTTGGAAACATTTTTCACTCAACAAAGCAAATTTCTTTGTTGTTCTTCCTTGTAAATCAATAAGCAGAATCTAAAATTATTTGGCTGTTTATATTGTTCTGAGCAGGTCCGTTTTAACCATAGGGCTAGGCGGGGCTCAAGCCCCGGGGCCCGAGCAATGAGGGGGCCCGTGATTGGCTGTGGAGTCACTCGTTGAATTCATCCATGAACATAGAACACAAAAACATTATTTTGATGTCAAATGTCTTTTTTTTTCAGGAACCTATAGCTCAACCACAAGGACTTTTGAAATTTGGCATTTCTTTAAGTAGAACCTTCAGGTCTTAAGAATCTACGATGGCAGACCAAACAAAAGAGGTAAAAAAGCATCAGACCAACACAGAAATACCAGACGACAATGGACCAGACTGTTCTAATCTCAATTCCAAAGAACAAACAAGAAAAACTTCACCTGAATTGAATCCTTCTAATGAATACTCAGTGAATCTCGCTCTCAAAGTGGCCACATCTTTGCTGCAGTCTGTCTTTCTTGAAAATAGACCTGTTGTACTGCCTGTTCATCTTCAGTTAGCTGAGGGTTCGCCACCCCAGGTTGGTGAGGCAGGGTTATCTCCCTTGATTTTGCCCACTTCAAGCACAGTCTCCATGCCACTGGCCCTGAATCAGCATTTAAACTCCCAACTTCAACCTTCTTTATGCTCTTGTCCATTTGTCAATATTCAGACAAGCACTTTGCTTGAAAACCTGCTTTTGTGTCAACCAGAAGCTTTGCTTTACCACACAGATGCACCAGTGTTTCAAAGCCCTGGAACTGCAACATGTTTGCAAGATCTAATACCATCTCTGAGCAAATGTGCTTCGGCAGAGTATGAAATGACTGGTCCAGAAAAACCAGTCCCTTTAAATTGGAATTTCTTGCCACATGAAATTGTTCAGCCCACTAGCACACCAATGATCTCACTGATCCCACCAGCAACCTTGTTGGTCCCTTATCCATTTTTGCTTCCATTACCAGTGCCGTTACCCATACCCTTCCCAATGCCTGTCCAAAAACTTTCACCAAAACCTCCAAAACTGGATCTACGATCGACAAAAGCACACAGACTTTGCCTACAATCTCTTGCTTTACCAATAGCATGGGCTGCCCCATATTTCCACATACACCATCAATGTCTCAGGACGAGGTGGTTGACCTCTCACTTAAGGCAAACCAAACTAAACAGTTACGTGTGTTATCTGCTTCACCAAACTCAGCACTGGATCTGTCTGTGGTAAGCTCAAATTGTAGACTTCAAAATGGACGAAACACATGGACAATACATGAAGGAAATGGAAACAACATCACACGTTCAAAGTATGTGGACTACAATTGCAAGATTGTGTGCCCAGCTCAAACAGTCAAAGTCATTGTGTCACCCACAGAGACCGTTCCTGCCCCTTTAAGTGACAAACGAAGTGGTTTCTCATGGGACTACATGATAAACTCACCAATGAAACCAGACAAGAGCCAGGATACTGTGGTACAGGGCAGCTCTAGGAGACTGTCCACAACTCACCCTCTTTGTAGTGAACCAAAGAGACAGATCTTAAACAACAGAAGTGTACATTTCAAAAGGGACGGGTCCTAAAACACGTATGGAGACACTCCTCCATATAAGAAACAACATCTGGCTTATTTTCTGCCCTGAAAATAGTTGAAATTGATCAATGATCAATTAGTTTTTGTGATTGCAGATACTGATTTGTTTTTTTCCTGGCAAGGCAACCAAGGTGTATTAATCTTTCATCATAATATAGATTATTATATGGTTCTCAAAGTTAAACTGAAATATGTAGCTACCAGTACAATGAAATCATATGCAATAACATTAATGATATAATTTATTAATAATATATGATATAAATAAAATTACGGGAAACATCACATTAATAAAATGACATGATATATATTAGCAAAATATATACTATAAAAATGTCAAATCTAAACCCAAATTAAATGGTCAAGTTCTTTTAAGCAAAGCATATTTAATTAGGTAATACCTTTCCCCTGAAAATATGGTGAAAATGACAACTTTATAAATGAAATGATTTATTCAAATGGTAGAAAAGCATTCAATTAAGTAAATACAAAATATTCCAACCTGAGTATAAGAGCAAGGTAAATAGTGTATCTAAAAGGAGCTAAAAATGTATGTATATAAATGTGTATCATAACAAAACTGCTCCATCCCCCAAGTCACAAAATCCATTATAAATGATACAAACAGACACAATGCGCTCCAAAAAAGCAACAGTTTCTACCTATTAAATAAGAATAAAAAAATGCACTGAAGAATAGAATACTGAACTAAATACACATTCGTATGATACACACATAAAAAAAAAACAACACATATCTGGGATTGCTCCGTACATCATTCACCATGCAGATAAACCTCTGAATTTCAGGATCATGTGACATTGTCCACTTCATGGATGTCACCTGAAGTGCTGGTCTGGTCATTAATATAGTCAGTTTTTAGAGGGAAAAAACATTATATGACTGTTTTTACAAAATATGTATAAATGAAAACGTATTGTACAAGTGTCACGAGTAATTATCTTGAATTAAACAGCAATAGTCATGGCGTTTTCACTAACAGTCAGAACTAAAAGTTTGTGCTTTTAAAACTGGTGCCTTTTGTAGACCATAAAACCATTTTTGGTTTACATCACTTAAAAACATTTTTATTTTTTTTTACTTACTTTATAAAACAGCAGGACATTTTGAAATACGATTGTGTATTTCCATTCCAATGTCACAGGAAAAAAATAAAACTGAAAATAATTAATTAATTAAACACTATGCCAAATGGTGAAATATAATTATCCGGCACCAAAACCCTTCATAGACAATGTCCAAAGTGTATTTCAAATGGATCTTCATCAGACTTAAACGGAGAGTAAAATACAGTGGAAGTGAACATTTGTCAAGCTGTCTGTGCATGTAGACGGTACCAGAAACAATACATAACACAATGAAATCCTTTGGGATTCAGCTTTCTCTACCATTGTCTGTATATGCAGAGCATTGTATCGCTGAGGTACTGAAAACCATTTTTGGTTTACATCACTTAAAAACATTTTTATTTTTTTTACTTACTTTATGAAACAGCAGGACATTTTGAAATACGATTGTGTATTTCCATTCCAATGTCACAGGAAAAAAATAAAACTGAAAATAATTAATTAATTAAACACTATGCCAAATGGTGAAATATAATTAACCGGCACCAAAACCCTTCATAGACAATGTCCAAAGTGTATTTCAAATGGATCTTCATCAGACTTAAACGGAGAGTAAAATACAGTGGAAGTGAACATTTGTCAAGCTGTCTGTGCATGTAGACGGTACCAGAAACAATACATAACACAATGAAATCCTTTGGGATTCAGCTTTCTCTACCATTGTCTGTATATGCAGAGCATTGTATCGCTGAGGTACTGAGGTCTGTAGCTGCAGTTTTACACTGAATTAGTTTCTAGATGAGAGCCAGTGAACATTCTTGTACATAGTAGTTGTACACAATGTCCATGCAAAGTTAGGTAGTTTTGAAAAGTCAGTCTGGTGATGTTAATTTTTGCATTTGTTTTTGTCACAAAAACAAAAATATTTGGCTGATCAGTTTTCCCCACCGTTTAAACAAGCGGGAATGGAGTACAGGTGAAGTATGTCAGCATGTTGGACCTTTGACCATCAATGTCACGGGTAATAAATATCCATTTATCTTGAGTGAAGTTTGTGATGTCGACTCTGAAATCGAGTGAACCTGCGCTTTCCTCTGTTGCCCTCTGGTGGATCCTCTGTTTTTGCTCAGAAGATTCCAGCTACTATTTTGTCTGTTTGAGTCTCTCAATGTGATGGCAAAGTTTAAGTGCAGGACCCAGCTTCAGCCCCATGTACTTCATGATCATGTCACTCCGTAAAAGCATCAATGCCTTGCCATCAATCTCCTGTGGAAAAAGAAAAGCAATCAATCCATTATAAAATCTACTTGGAAATCTTGTTCTGAAAACCTACAATAAAAAAAAACAACTGCAAAACATCAAGAAATCCAGAAAATCGTATCTCACGTGTTTCCTGAAGAGCTCTGCGTGTGGGCCCAGTGCTTGTGGATCAGCATCGCGCACAAATTGCATCACTTCCTCTATACTCCAGGATGACGGACTCTTACTAGACGTTTTGGTCGGATCCTTCTCTGCTGTTTGATGATCAGGCCCAGTGGTTGAGCTAGCAGCTGGAAAACAACACAAGTTAAGATATATATAAATATCAGTAAGATATCAAAATAATACCACAATAATATAAAATAAAAAATGGAGTGCAGTTGTTTGGTACCTAAATTTGGTAACTACAAAAAGGCTTACTTACAAATTCAGATTAACCTGTATAATAATAATTGCCACTAGGGGGCACAGCAATACATAATCATGACAAAATGCATGGCTCGGTTCAAAGCAGCATTCTGGGGTATCTAGTATGTATACTGTGCACAGCATGTACATTTTCTTTATGCAAAGAATAACAGAATGACCAGGTCACTTTTTTCACTCACAATTTGATTGGACTACATAAAAGGTAGGATTTTTTTCCAGACAAAACAAGGGGAAAAAACTTTTTTTATTAAGATTTAATATAATTTAATATACTAAGGATATAAAAAAATATTGAAACAAAATTAAGATATACTGTGGTGGGCAGTATTTATTCTGCCTAATGTAGGAAGTTAGGACTTTTTCTGACAATTCAAATCAAAAACGCTCTCTATATTAAAAAACAAAAAATTATATATATATATAAATCAGTGTTGTACGGAAGAGGATTAGGGCCAAGCAATAACAAAAAAATAAATAAAACCATCTCAAGCCGTTCCGGCAGAAGACGCAGCACGTCGGCGTTGCGTGATTAGTGACGAACGCTGAGACAAAACAAAACAAAACGCCATTCACGAATTAGAAGCACAAAACAAGGATTTGTAAAGAAAAATGCCGGAGGATTTCGATATAAACCTAGAGGAGACTGGTTTTCCTTTGCTAAAGTAAGGAAATTTTGTTTCCTTTGCTCCTGCATTTCTCAGAGGCACGCACACGACGCATACGTCTTACGTCATCCGCCTGAACGTCTTCCGCATACCACAGTCAGCGGAAGTGAGAAAAAAGTGTTTATTACATTTGGATTCGCTACAGGAAGTGAGAGAAAGGTGTTTATTACGTTTGAAATATGGATATTTATCTTACAAAAATGCATGGATTCGCTACAGGAGGCCTTTATTCACCCCCCGGAGCCGTGTGAGGGACGTTTTATTACGGATGCGCGCACTTTATTTCACGTCTTCTGAACTGTTGACAACCAACACCCGCTTACCCCCATTGAAAGGCTTGGAGGGGCCAGGACAATTTTTAATATAACTCTTGATTGGATTCGTTTGAAAGAAGAAAGTCCCATACACCTAGGACGCTTCAAGGGTGAGTAAAACACAGGCTAATTTTCATTTTTGGGTGAACTAACCCTTTAATGTGTT